AACCCATGCATCTACAACTTTAAATTCTTTTTTTTTTCTTTTGAGACAAGTTCTCACTAAGTAGTCTAGGCTGACCTTGAAATCTTGAACTCGCTATGTAGTCCAGGTTGGCCTCAAGCTTACAATGATACTCCTGCCTCAGCCTCCCAAGTACTGGGGTTACAGTGTGTGCCAACACAGCCAGCTCAAACTTTTGATTCTTAACAAAGAAGCCAAAAACATCCATAGACAAAAGACAGTCTCTTTAAAAATATCAGTGGGAAAATTGGATATCCACCCATACAAGTCGTAAACTAGATCTCTCTTGCTCTGTACAAAAATTAACTAAAAATGTTAAAACTACTAGAGGAAAGCATAGGAAAAATACTTCAAAATACTGGTACATACAATGATTTCTTCACTAGGACTCCAATAGCTCAGAAAATAACAGCAAGAGCTGACAAATAGTTTCCAGGGATCTGGCCAGAAGCCTCAATCTGGGCACTGATTATCTGGATTTGTCTGCCCATTGAGTATATAAAAAGAAAGGAAAAGTAAGTTTATTCACAATTGGACCAAATTAGGTGGACAGCTAGGTTTTTGCTAAATTGACCAGGCTGGCCTCAAATTTGGGCTTCTCCTCCTTTAGGATTCTGATTAGCTGAGATTGAATAATCATTATATATATATACATTTTTTTGTTATATTAATATATCCTCATATGACAAAGGCAATTTAGTGGAAGAATCTTCCTCTTGATATTTGAATCTGAACACAGTGTGTAACAAAAAACAAAAACAATAAAAAATAATTGTTTTTTTACAGGTGGACACTGAAGTGGATCTGTTTTCTTTTTAGAAGCCTCCAAAAACAAAAAGCAGCTTAAAAACCTGAATATAATGAATCTATCTTCCTCGCAATTTGAGTAAGATGTCCCTTGATGTTTCTTTCCTGTTTTTGTGCTTGGGGTTCACTGAGCTTGTTGGATCTGTAAGTTTACAGTTTGATTCAAATATGGGAACATTTCAGCCATATTTTTTCAGATATTTTCCTGGTCTCTCCTTTCATTTCCCTGAAGGATTACAATTACATGTATATTCAGTGACTTCAAGTTTTCACGAAGTTCACTGATGCTGTTTATTTTTTAATGTTTTTCATTCCCTGCTCCATTTTGGATAGCATCCATTGCCATGTCTTTGGTTTACTAATATTTTCTTCACCTACAGTGTCTAACATTCCTTTAACCCCAACCAATGTTTGTTTTTTAAAATTCCACAAGTGATATTCATCTTTCAATTTGGGGTTCTTAATATAGATATGAAGAACAAGTGCTATCCAAAATGAAGCCGAGAATGATTTTGCTCTTTAGGAGTTACCTTGATCAAGGTGTTGTTTGTATTGTGGTGATGGAGCTTGTTACAGGGCCTTGTCTGTTCTAAGCAAGAGCTCTACCACTGAGCTACACTCTCAGTACTCCATGGTTTTTCTTATTTATTTTTGGTACGGGGGATCGAACCCGGTATTTAGCACTTGTGAGGCAGGCAGCAGCACCACCGAGCTCCATGCTTTTTTTTTGTTTTGTTTTGTTACCAGGGATCAAACTCAGGTCCTTGTGCTTGAGAGGCGGGCGGCAGAACATGAGCTAAATCCCTGGCCTGGCCTCCATGTTTTTAATCAGGATTGTTTTAGCTGTGAATTAACTGCTAAATGTTGATAAGGATTACCTATTTCCAAAGGCTTTTGATTGTACAAGTATGAACACTTCTTTATGCCATTTTCTTAAGGTTCTGGGACCAAACCCAGGGCCTTACATATGCCAGGCAAGCACTCCACCAATGAGTTCTTGGGCTACATCCAGAGCGCCAATGTTTATCTTCAAGAAGGAGTTCACACACATGTAATTGTCTATTTGGGTTCCACAGTATCAGTTGTGATAACACATTATCTCAAGGCTATGGTCCAACCCAGTAATGTCAAATCTTTTAGAGCTACCTGTTGCAGCACACATGCCACTGGTTTGCCACCACTGGTCTAGTCTCTTAATTTCTCCTTATTGTATTTGGCTTCTCTCACTTGTGCTGGTTTTATCATTTCTGGCTTCTTGATAGATATAAATGCTTATTCATTCCATCAACATTCATCTACATGACAGGCCCTGTACTGATCACTGTAGACAGTGAAAACAATGAAGATTAGGCCCACAGATAAAACCTCCTTAGTACATTGTCACTATTTTTTCACTGAATGGAACTTTGGTGACACTTCACAAGGTCAGATATACAGGCATCTCATTATCATTAATTTCAAGTAGTTTAGATTAAGGGTGTAGTTCAGTGATGAGTGGATACTTAGCTTCCATGACACCCTGGATTTGATCCCCAGCACCAACTACAAAAAACAAAAAAACATTTAAAAAAATGCTTTCTAGCTGAGCATGGCGGCACATGCCTATAATTACACTTTGGATGGAGGAGGATCCCAAGTTTGAACAACTTAGTGAATGAGAACTTGTTTCCTCCCTGCTGCAAAAAAAAAAAAAAAAAAAAAAAAAAAAAAAGGAAAAAATGGCTGGGGATGTAGCTTAATGTAAAAGCCTTGGGTTCAAACTTCAGTGTTGCAAAATAATTAAAATACACAACTTATAATCTCAGTTTTGAACTTGAAAATTTTATTACTGAAATGTCTGTCAAACATACAAAAGTTGAATTAGCACAATGAACCGTGAAAAATTTCACTTAATTACCCACATGTAGTCATCTAGTTTCCATCTTTGCAATCCATTTTCTAGTGACATGCCAGTCTGCATATCTTATTTCGTAAATACATAAGTATACTAATTCTACCACATAGGATTATTTGGTAACTGTGTTGGTATTATCATCCGTAACAAAGTTATTTCTAAACATCATCTAATATTTGGTCCACGTGTACCTTTCCTCCACTATTTCCAAAGTGTCCTTTCTATTTTGTTAAAACCAGGTTCAAGAAATGCCCGTGTAATGAATTTAGTTGTCATGTCTCTTGTCGCCTTTATTATTAATAGTTGACCCTCTTCTTTTTCATGGCACTCATTACTTGATGAAATCAGGCCAACTTTTCTGCAGAAATTTACATATTCTGGATCTAATTGGCTGCTTCTTTATACCATTTTATTCACCTAGTCCCCAAATTCCTGGTTATAAAGAATTTGATTTAAAGGTATGATTCCTCCTGTTATTTTTGCAATATGGCTTCATGCATAGTTGTATGTGCTTCCTATAGCATTACTGCAAGTGATGGATGTTGTCTGATAATCCCAGTCTTATTGCTGTCCAAATTGACAAGAGTGTTCTAAAGTGATCAGCTTGATATTTTCTCTACAAAATCTCCCACTTTTGTAGTTTTAGCATTCACTGAAAATCATTTTCTGAACCCATTATTTCATTAGTCTAGAAAATACAGATTCTAATCCTATTATTCTTTTTATATTTATTTGTCGGATTTAAGTTTTAAAAAGAAAAACACTTAGATTTGATTAATTTTTGATGATCCTGATTATTTGGCTCACATGGGGGGAAAAATGCTCACCCTCCAATACAGACTTTAAGAATGAAGGCCAGGGACTTAGCACAGTGATGCCTCCACCTGCTTGCAGGCACAAGGACCTGAGTGCTATCCCCAGTACCAAGACAAAAAAGAATGATATGATACCCTAGTATTTTCCATAACTGACCAAATTATGCAGCCACAACCAAATAAACTATCAAACTACCAGTGGGGTCGGGTCATAAGACCTGACTAGACACACTAATTGAAGATGGACCAATTATACTAAGTATAATGGAATGTTTTCTTTTTATACAGTTTCACACACATGCATGCACCAAATTAAATTCCAAAGTGGGTAGTTTCTCCTATGCTATCTTTTTCAGAGTTTGTGATTAATCTTAAACTGTGGCCAGACAAAAGGATGCTATGTCACAGATGGAAAAACTGCTTCATATTTCTGATTCAACAGCTGTATTCTTAACTGTACATTTATGAAAATCATAGTTTTCACTGTGAAATTTCTGATGGAATTCAAGTGATGAAGAAATTCTCATTCACTAAAATCTCCTAGGTTTTACCTAAAATAAATTACTTTCAGCTTAGTAAGTGTTGAGATGTGATAGGAGACATTTCTACATTTATTGCTTCTGCAGTAATTTTCTTTAAAAGGAATTCACTAATACTAGTAAGAATAATAATTATACACAATATTTACAGAACACAAGTTTCTCTTGTGACTGCTATTCTAACTACTTAATCCTCACAATTCTATTACACAGCACGGCAGGTTGACTCTGAACTGGCCACTAATGGTCACTGTCTCTTGGTATTCTTTTACAGGCCCCTTCCTGTGAGAACAGGCTAATCTAGTAATACTTCTAACCAGCAGAAAGAGCAAATGTAATAGGGATACCATTTCCATGATTAGATTATACAAGATTACAACTTCCTTGTTAGCAGAGTTCCATCTTGCTGGCTTTCACACTTTGATGAAGCAAACTGAAGAGGTCATTGTGGCAAGGAAATGCAGTCAACCTTAGCCAATAGCCTGCTAGAGACTGAGAATCACAATGTAACAGCCCAAGAAGAAAGGAATTCCAGCATCCATCCTATTAGCTTGGATATAGATCATTTCCTAGTCAAGCCTTCAGATGACCAGCCACAGCTAACTTTGCGACTACAAAGACCCAACTAAGTCATGTCTGTTTTCCTGATAGACAAATCATGAGATAACAAATATGTATTTTAAGCTGCTAAGTTTTTGTGATTTATTACACAGCAATAAATAATACAACTACTGCACTAATATTGCTATTTTACAAGTGAACAAAATGAGGCACAATATGATAGCATCTTGTCTAATATCACAATAATAATAAAATAGTAAAGGGAAACAATGACGGGTAAGGATGTTTTCCAACATTCATAACATTATTCTCTCATTGAAATCTGAAGATAAACAATGTTTTAATGATGAAGGAAAGCTTTTAAAGCAATATATTCTTTCTCCAATATAAAATTTCTTATTCTTAGTTGTAAGCATGAAACAAATTTTCTCAAAAATTGATTTGATGGTGTTTTATAACATAATGTACATTTGAAGGCTTTTCTGCATTAAATTCCATTATGAATCTTCTGATGTTGAGTAAGGTGTGAATGCTGTCTAAAGGCCTTCTTACATTCCTTACATTTGTAAGGTTTCTCACCAGTATGAATTCTCTGATGTTGAGTAAGAAATGAATAAAGTCTAAAAGCCTTTCCACATTCCTTACATTCATAAGGTTTCTCACCAGTGTGAATACTCTGATGCTGAGTAAGTTGTGAGAGCAATCTGAAAGGTTTTCTACATTCCTTACATTCATAAGGTTTCTCCCCAGTGTGAATACTCTGGTGCTGAGTAAGCTGTGAGAGCAGTCTGAAGGCTTTCCCACATTCTTCACATTCATACGGTCTCTCACCAATATGAATGCTCTGATGTGAAATAAGTTGTGAGTAACTACTAAAGGTCTTCCAGCATTCCATACATTCATAGGGTTTCTCACGAGTATGAATTCTCTGATGGCGAACAAGTTGTTGTCTTAATCTAAAAGTTTTCCCACATTCCTTACATTCAAAGGGTTTCTCACCAGTATGAATACTCTGATGGACAGTAAGCTGTTGGCATATTCTAAAGGCCTTTCCACATTCCTTACATGCATAGGGTTTCTCACCAAAATGAATTTTCTGATGTACTCTAAGATCTGGGCCACATACAAAGGCCTTCCCACATTCCTTACATTCATAGAGCTTCTCAGAAGTATGAAGTCTCTGGTGTCGAGTAAGATGTGTACACTGTCTAAAGGTCTTCCCACAGTCCTTACACTCATAGGGCTTCTCACCAGTGTGGATTCTCTGATGCCGAGCCAGCTGCTGATGTACTCTAAAGGCCTTTCCACATTCCTTGCATTCATAAGGTTTTTCACCAGTGTGAAGCCTCTGATGTTGAGTAAGTTCTTGGAGCACTGTAAAAGCCTTGCCACAGTCCTTACATTCATAGGGTTTCTCACCAGTATGAAGTTTGTGATGTCGAATAAGGTGTGCCCGCTGCCGAAAGGCCTGCCCACATTCCTTACATTTATAAGGTTTCTCACCAGTATGAATTCTTAGATGTTGACTAAGTGTTGAGCGACGAATAAAAGTCTTTCTACATTCCTTACATTCATATAACTTTTCTCCATTGTGAACTCTCTGATAATCTGTAAGAAAATTTTGCTTTTTATAAGTGGTCATTTTTTCAGAGCCAATTTTCACCTGCCCAAAATACCTATCTTGCGGTTCTTTTTGGCCCTCAATCTTCCTTTTGAATTCCCAGTCATTTTTAAAAATAGAGCTCTGAAGGCTATAGCTTTTAATTCTTTCCATTATCTCCCACTGTAATGAATATATTTCATAAATTTCCTTTTCTGGACATAAGGTATTGGTCCTACATCTGGACTCCAAATCTGAAAGAAAATAAGAAAAGGAAACACACGCTGTTTTCCTGTTTCCGAAGAAAACTTCTACAGAGAAAAAAAACAATGCCTGTTACAAGTGATGGACTACATCTCTCTCAAACATACACATTTCTGCTACAATACTACAAGTGCATACCTAAAAACCAGTATCTTCTATAAAGTCACATACCACAAGTAAGTGAATTCATGGGAAATACAGGCCTGGAACAGACCACTTAACTCTATGTAATTTTATTAGCAGAGCACTAACAAATGTAAAGATGATCACACAGTCTCATTTCTCCTTTAATATGATGAATTATACTGATCAACATTAAAAGCCAAGACTACATTATCTAAAAAGGTGTAAGTTCCACTTGATAGTCATCTCTATATGGTACTGAATTTAATTTGCTATTATTTTGTTAAGAATTTTACTCCTAATACTTGAGGAATAAAAGTTTTTAGTTTGGTAATTTCTTTGTCAAGTAGTATGATAGTTATACTGGCCTCATAAAGTGAGCTCAGGTGTTCTTTCCTTTTCTGAAGAAACTGTGTAATAAGGCCACTATTTCTTCCTTAAATATTTGATAGTATTCATTAGTGAAACCATCTGGTCCTGACATTTCTTTGTGGAAAGATTTCTGATAATAAATTCAATTACTTTAATAGGCATATTGTTGTTCTTTTTTATCATTTTTTCTGTCAGGTCTAATAAATTATATTTTAAATTTTTTTTTCAATTTCATTTACACTATTACATTTATCAGCACAAAGTTATTCACAGAATTCTTTTTATATGTTTGGAGGGAGTATAGGCAATTAAACCCAGGGTCTTGACACTGAGCTAAGTTCTCAGCCATTTTTGAATTTTTATTTGGAGACAGGGTCTTGCTAAATTGCCTAGGCTAGGCTTGTGCTTGTAATCCTCCCTTCCTCAGCCTTACAGAGTGCAAGTCTTCTTATCTTTAAATGGCTATATCAGATGAAAACCAACCCCCTCTGGATTAGTAATTTATGTTCTCTTTTCTTGATTCATCAGACTAGGTATTTACTATCTTGTTGATCTTTTTGAGAAGTTGACTTTTGGTTTTATTTTTTCTATTTTGTTGATTTGTATTCTTATATATATTGTCATTTTATTTTATGACACCAGTTTCTCTCTTTGAAGTGAGAATTAAACGTGGGAGATGAAAAACAGTATAATCAAGATCAACAGAAAGTGACTTTGCTAGTTGAAACTTGAAAGTTCTTAATCCACTTCAGATCTCAACACTTTCCCTTACAGCCCATGGGCTTGTTTTTCCACTCAGTACTGAGGATTAAATCAAGGGCCTTCACACTGAACTACATCTCCAGTCCCCCACCCTTTGTACACTTTTTTATGTTTGTTTACATTTTGAGATAGAATCTTGCTAAGTCACTAACTCACTCAGGCTGGCCTCCAACTTGCAATTCTCCTGCCTGGACCTCCCAGAATAAATGCCGAGATTACACACGTGGGTTTTTGTTTTGACATAATGGAAATTGAACTCAGGGCCTTGTGCATGCCTGGCAAGTGCTCTAGCACAAGCCAAATCCCTGATAGATTATCACTAAATTGACCAGGCTAGCCTCGAATTTAGGAGGCTAATGCCTCAGCTTCCCAGGTAGCTGAGATTACACACATGCATCACCATGCTTGGCAGCTATGGGTGTTTGAAGAGAGAGCTCCAAGGATCTCTAAGATGTGCCTCCACTCTAAGCAGGATAGCTATTAACTGCGATAGTGATTTCCCTGTGCCTGCTCAGCTCTCACTTAGCAAGGCAATAGGTTCTTGTCCGTTCCTTCACAACAATCCCAGGTTCCTGCCCTTCTTCATCCAATAAGGTAATCACATCTGGTTTAGAAACAGAAGTTCCTGCTTTAAAGGAAAATATCACATAAAACTATAAACCTGAAAGTCCTTCTGTTCAGATTTGGTTAAATTTATAATTAACTACAAATTAAAATGGCACTTTATAAAGACTAAGTGCAAATAAATACAAGGGAGCTGAGGAATTCACTTTAGGGTAACCTCAGGACCATAAGAAATAGATACTAGGTGACTAAGAACAGGCTTTAATATAATTTAAGCTCACACAGGCTCTGCAGAAGCAATATTTTGTAGAGATTAAGAACACAGGTTCTGGATCCAGACTGCCTGGTTTTAAATCCTGCCTGTTAGTCTGTTACCTCAGTCAGTTATTAACTTTTGCACTTCAAGTTTTGCACCCAAGTTTTCTTATTTGAAATAAGGTTAAGAATAAGTAAGGAGTAACTGAAAAGTAATCAATAATAAACAATGCTCAGAACAGTGTGTAAGCACAATATATACACTGATATGTTCATATACACACGTGTATTTTTACTGCTATCATTTTGCTGAGAGGGTAATAAGAGGCTTTTAGACATTCTCAGATCCTTTTGGGGATACTCAATGTTAAATACAAAGTTCTTAGATTTTGTTTATTTTTTTCAGCCAGGGTCTCACTATGTGCTTCTGGCTGGCTTTGAACTATGTAGTCCAGGCTGGCCTTGAACTCTTGGCAGTCCTCCTGCTTCAGCTTCCCAAGTGCTGGGATTATAGGTATGTCACCAACCTGGCTAGGTTTTTAATTTTATTTATTTATTTATTTGGGGGCTGGGGATTCAACTCAGGATCCTGCACTTGCCAGGTAGGTCTGGTGCCACTGACCTACATCCCCAGCCCAGGTTTTTAACTTTCAACTACGAAGCACATAGAACCAAGTATGTCTGCTACAGAATAAAAAAATGTATTTACTTGAATTTTAAATGAAGCTTGTGGATCACCCCATAAAATATACACACACACACATACACACTCTACAAACTCCTTTGATTTTCATTCTTTCTCTTTCTTTTCTGATCTCTTTTGATTTTTTACTCTGAGGCCTAGTGTGTAGATATTCTCCTTTTAGGTGAGTTAGAAAGGAATATGAAGTATATGTGTCAATTCTGAACATGAATACAATATGATATCTAGTTTCTTCGACAATACTTGCACCATACTCAAATCCAGCCCCTTGGATACTAAGGGAAACAGGAATTATAAAATCTAAAGAAAATGTGAAGAGCATCACAGGCTGAGAATGTTTAAGTGGTGTAACCAATTTACAATGAACAAAGCCTAGCTATTCTTTTTTTGGTTTTGTTTTATTTTAATTTTTTGAGACAAGATCGTACTGTGTAATCCAGGCTGACCCTGAACTCACTATGTAGCCCAGGCTGGCCTCGAACTTGTGGTGATCCTCCTTCCTCAGCTTCCTGATTGCTGAGAATACAGGCACACAGCTAACCTAATCATTCTTTATGGGAACACAGAGTAAAAATTTAGCTTGATAACAGCCTTACCTAGTGAGACGAAGTTGCTATAGTTCTCCCACATTACATCCCTATATAAGTTCCTCTGAGCAGAATCCAGGAATTCCCATTCTTCCTGTGAGAAGTCTATAGCCACATCTCTAAATGTCACTGAACCCTGAAAAAATGAATTGATGAATTACTTGTGAAAATAAATTAAATATTTCTTTTAAATAGAGAGGACATTGAGGACTTCACTGCAGAGTCACAGTATGCAAATAGGCTGAAAACTTATGATATGAATAGAAAACAGCAAGAAAATCAGTACTTCAGAAGAAGAATGCCTACATGTTCTTGACTGTCTTATGGCTGGAGATTAAATTTTTATCCAAATATATCTGGAAATGAATAAAATAGCCAATAAATCTTGATTAAATCAAATAGCGCACACAAGCCTTTGGCATACTATGTGCTTTCACTATAAATTCTAAAGGAATATGAGGTCTCTCACTTTCTTTCTCCTTTAATGATCATGAAAATACATTGGCAAAAATATCTCCTAAGTGTACTATAAAAGCTCTCTGAAAGTAAACTCAAGTTCACAAGAGGAAAAAATTGAGATACAAAAGTTCACAACAGAATGAAATTTTACTATAAACATTTTCCTTGTTAACCAGTTCTTTACTAAACTTTAAATATTTTGATGCACAGCTGTCCTCTTTGAGTATGCCAGATTCTCTTTAAAATTTGGCTGTTTGAAATCAGTATGACTTCAAGTCTTCTCTAACACTTGTATTCTATAATACCTAATACTTGTGTATTTGAATAATTTTATCCTTTGTCATCATCCCTCATTAAACATCTTTTCTCACTTTTGAGCTTTAGGATACTAAGTCTTTTGATTATGTCTTCATGACTTAATATCCTAAAGCTCAAAAGTGAGAAAAGATGAGCTCTGTTCTGATTACCACCTAGCCATTCTATTGCTGAGGGAACAAGGTGGTGAAAATTATGAGGTTGAGGATTAGGGATATAACTGGCCTTGCAGATAGGGGAAGTAGGAGGGAAGAAAGCCTTTTCCACCAGAAAGGCACATCTGGTGAGAGCAAGGGAACTCATGGTTAGGCCTCTGGGGCCTTGACAAACATGTCAAGGTAGAACATGAAAGTTTAGGTCTTACCATATAGTAAGGCTCTGATTACATCTCTGCATAACCCACTCAATCCTAAAAGCCTTACAAAGTATAAGATATATCAGCACACAAAGAAACTAAGATTAGTCAACACTAAATCCCATCCTATTACTTAAAAAATGCTGATCTGTGGAATTTATAGTTTCCCATAAGGTATAAAACAAGATCAAATTCTCTTTCTTAAACTACAGGTCTTTAAAGGAAGCTCAAAACATAGATC